TTTATCTCTAGTTCTTGAGCGATGCATTGAAACAAACTTGGTTTTGAATTGAAAAAAGTGTCATTTCATGGTTAAGCAGGGGATTGTTTTAGGTCACTTGATTTCTAACAAAGGTATTGAGGTTGATAAGGCTAAAATTAATATAATTGCTAAGCTGCCATCACCTACAACTATTATTAGTGTCCGATCTTTTCTTAGTCATGCTGGGTTTTACAGAAGGCTTATCAAGGATTTCTCCAAGATTGGTTGGCCTTTGGGTAGTTTATTGGCTAAGGATGCTCCTTTTGTTTTTTATGAGGTTTGTATGGAGGCATTCAACAAGTTAAAGACACTCCTCACTACAACACCCATTATTGTCGCCCCTGACTGGAGTTTACCATTTGACTTAATGTGTGATGCATCAAATCATGTAGTTGGGGCAATTCTTAGACAGTGAAAAGATAAGCTTCACCAGGTTATTTTTATGCTAGTCAGACCATCAATGATGCACAACTAAACTATGCAATCACTAAGAAAGAATTGTTGATAGTTGTGTTTGCATTAGAGAAATTTCATTCTTATTTGGTTGGGGCTAAGGTGATTTTCTGTACAGATTATAGACCTTTGAAGCATTTGTTGTCTTAAAATGATGCCAAACGTTATTTAATTCGTTAGGTTCTTCTACTTTAAGAGTTTGACTTGGAAATGAGGGATAAAAATGATAGTGAAAATGTTGTGGTTGATCATTTGTCAAGGCTGATCTTCCAATTTCTGCTAAAGAGGATTTGCTTCCATCAAATGAAAGTTTCTAGATGAATAACTATTTGCTATCCATAACAGTTCACCATGATTTGTGGATTTAGTTAATTATTTGGCTAGAGGGGAAATTTATCTAGATTTTACTTTCTAGTAGAAAAAGAATATTTTTAGCTAATGCAGAGTATTGTTTTTGGAATAAACTGTATTTATACAAGTACTATTCATACCAAGTTATTTGCAGGTGTATTCCGGAAGAAGAGTAAGAAAGTGGTTTAAAATTTGCACAACATTATGCATGTGGGCGACATTTTGGACCTAAAAGGTCAGCATCTAAAATTTTGCAAAGTAGCTTGTTTTGGCCTTCTCTTTTCAAGGATGCTCATAATTGGTGTAAATCTTATGATCATTGTCAAAGAGTGGGAAGTCAGTCCAAATAGAATAACATGCCACATCAAAATATTTCAGTTGTTGAATTATTTGATTTGGGGTATTGGTTTCATGGGACCATTCCCAATGTCCCATGGCATCAATACATATTAGTGGTTGTTGAGCATGTTTCCAAATGGGTCGAGGCAAGCGCAGCATCAGCTAATCAAGGATTAGTTATTCTGAAATTCCTTTAAGGGGTAATTTTCCACAGGCCATTTGCTGCATTGCTGGTGAAGTATGGGATTACCCATCGTATTGCTACTTCTCAGGTAGTAACACACGCTTGATAATAATTGTTAAATAATTTGATAACATAATCATTTAAAATTGATGTTCTTATTTGATTTCTTTATGCTAGTTACAACCTATTGGTATTTTATGAGGGTCTTCATGCAAGTTACTAGGCTCATAAATGGACCAGTTGTTGCAACTGGAGAAATAGAATCAACAAATCCTGAGGCGAAAGTTCATCAGATGGTGCTTGGTCCTGATTGCTGGAAGGTTTGGGTAACTGTTGTCAGAGTGGCGAATGTATCTTTGTACCGCCCTACAAGTGAATTTCGTGTCCTGGAGGATGCTATATCTATTACAATTGTGTGGCCATCAAAGTACGTCTGAGTTGGAGAGTAATTTTAGTTCGTACTTAGACTAGAAAATGGTACTTTGGCACTACATGGATGGTACTTTATGACTTCCGTTGTTTATGTATTCATTAGGCACTACATGGATACTACTTTATGACTTCCGTTGTTTATGTATTCATTTGGAAACTCAAGTATTTTTACATTATGTTATAATATTATCAAGTATTTTTTTTTTTTGTAGTTATTATATTGTAGTAAATATGCAATTTTGTTGGTTATTCTGTATTAAAATATATAAATACATATATATATTTGTTATATAATTTTTTTTTTAATTCTGGAAAATAATTTATAACAGGCATTAGTTGTGGTCAATTAGTAATCGACAACGGTCATAGTAGGTGGTGTTAGATCTCAATCTACCACGGGTACAATCTATAATTATATTGCATTTAACAATGAGCATAGCCCGTGGTAAAAACTGAGATTTTTTCATCACATCCAGAATACTAACGGGCACAGTGTCCATGGTGGATTGCAACTTATCACAGGCATTCACCGTGAGAGATGAGCTTTTTTCTTCCAGTGATAAACAATCAACATGAGTATATACAGAGGTACGTCAGTAATTTAATCACAGATCAGGGTTCATCATAATCTGAGGAAGAAATTTTACCTTGTCCTCGTTTGGATCTGTGATGTCCGAGCTTTTTTTTTTCCTTTTGTTGCTTTTGTACAATTTGCAGATCGAGGGTTTCCTGCCAAAAGTAAACAGATTCATGAGTTATTGAGGAAACATGACTATTTTCTGCTGATCTGCCACTTATGCATTCAGAGATGAAAAGTATGTCAATATTCAGTTTGGGGGTGGATTCTTTTTCTGTTCTCAGAGCGGGTCAAGTTCCAAATGGTCCACATGTATGTTCAGGCTTGATCTAGGTCTTAATTCATATTTTTACTGGGGGCAAGCGTGTTCAGTCCGAAATCCTCATCAGCATACAGATCCAAGTTTTTCAAGGAGTTAATATTCCCAGTTATTAGTTATATTCAGTTTGGGGGTGCCATCACAGAATATTAAAAGTGAAATGTATTTCAATCCGTAAATGCTGAGCAAAACGAGAGCAGAGGGAAGAGATTTATACTTTCCGATGTGCAGAAGTCGCAACCTTGACGTTTATTTTGCCTTTTTGGTCCACTAGATCTGCAGCTTCGACGTTCCTTTCTCTCAGATATAACTTGGATCCGAGTGTCCTACACAGAGAGCAAAAATATAAGTACATGCTGGGACATACAACATAATTTTTGCAAATCGGGGTCCTAACACATTCCAAAAAGCAAATTAAAGCCAAGGGTAGGTTAATGATGAGGAGGAGTGTGCACTGGGTGGTCGAAATATGTGGTTGTGTAGCCTATGATAGATTTCTCAACTGACCATTCAGGAGAAGGCAAATTCCAGCTCCCAATACTGTAGAAAGCTGAACAGTTACCAAATGAAGCAAGTGATATCTCGAGGTAACAAAAAATTAACAACACGACGCATAAATAAACACATAGAACTAAACCAGCACACACACAAAAGCAAACCAATTAAAAAACCGTGGAGGACGAATAACTAGCAAACCCTAATGATGAAACCCAACCAACTTACTTAAACATCATAGTTCTACCTCTAGACTTAACTGGCCGAAGGATATGCAAATTCTTTTCACAGACACGGGAGTAGTAGACATACAAATTTCGGTGAAAAATAAATGTTCACCAACACATTAAATTTCGATATGCGAAGGCTTACGTGGCATATATCATGTGTCTCACATGACATGTGATTCATAAAAAAAAACCGGACTAATCATGAAGAGGACACATGTCAATGCTTGGCAAGAAGGAATTATTTGGTTTTAGTTTAAATTAAACAAATTATTTAATTTAAATTCAAATAAAATAAAAATGTCAAATCTGGAAGATTGATTTATTTGGTTTTTATTTGATTAAATCAAATATAATTGATAGAGTAATCATGAACCAAGACACAAATCAAATCTTCATTCTTTCGTTTGTTTGTTTTCTGGTCCTTTTGTGGCCGCGGTGTTAGGGCTGATCTGCTGGACCACTCGATGCATTTGCCTCTTCTTTCTTCTAATATAATTGTCTCTTTAGGGAAAAGAAAAGAAAAATCTTTCTTAAACAAAACAAGTTAATAGAAATCAGCTGCCATTTTATTTCGTACTATAATACATGGTCAGGGAGTTTTATGAATGACTAATCCATATATTGGTGTTGTGGGCGCTAGGGGGCATTTGTAAAATGGTTTGCACTCTTTAAGGTATATAGATGTTCTTTTTTGTAATAATCTATGCACTTCAAATGTTAGCAAATCTTTTGTTGGCTTAAGAAGCAGCAAGTTACCAAATATTTTTGAAAAAAAATTGGTCGAATGATCAAATAAGGTATAGGAAATTCCATCAACAAGCGTTGTTCTAATCTGTATATTGCGAGTGTATTTTCAATGCGTATGAAAATATTTAGACTGGAGAATATGTTGTACAAATGCACCCCAATATTAAGACGTAAAAAATATTTTCCCAGTACCTGTAGTAGCTGATCAGTTGACGGCGGTTGGTATACTAGTACTATTTTGCAAGAAAATTTTGTTCGGACTATTTTTCTAAATGACAATGTTACCTTCTATCATCAATCACCATTGATTTGTATAATGAGCTGGAAGAATGTTGAAAATTTTGTTGGGAAAGTATATTTTCACTTAATGGTGGATAGAAATCTGTTGCAAATTTTGTTAGAAACCACGGACTGGATAGAAATAATAACTAGGTGTTTGTATGGAACATTTTACTTTGTTAACTAGAAAATTGAGCGGCCATAATATATTTTCACTTAATGGTGGAAGCAACCACCATATACGATGAGTTTATGGCCGAAAATTATATATCCTTATATGAAAGTAATAAGGAAATGGTTTCATATAAGGAAATGGGTCGGGTTTGTAGATACAAGAATTTGTATTTGAGTGCTTAACAGTAGTTAGGGGTGAGTTTAAAAAATCAAAAACAGAGCCGAACACCAAACAAATTTATATTTAATTATTTAATATATGTTAATTATATATTACCTACAGGTTGAGAGTGTTTACTTCAACCAACTTACAACAAGCTTTGTGTTGCTATAATCGTATTAGCAAAATATTTATACCGATTTTGGATATTTAATTCTTTATAAGATTTCTAAACAAAACCCTAACTATCCCATTTACTCCCATTTAATCTCCTCTTTGTTCTGACTTGTCAAGTTCTCAGTCTCTCCCTTACCCTAGGCGTTGTAGGACTAGCCGGCCTCCAACCAAGACAGGGGTGTATGATGTTCTCTCTTCATACTTATTAGTGAAGTCTAATTCTCCGTTTACATTCACTCTGTAGTATTGTCGTCTAATCGCTGATTTGATGGCATTCAAAGAGATTATGTACCTCGGGATGAGGCTTTCGAGGAAATTAAGCAGAATACTTTCTCCACTGGAAGATTGAAAGCTCTGCTTCACAATCTTATACCATCTCTTGCTGCTACATTGTCAAGAGGTTCTTTCCGTTGGAGAAAGATGGTTGAAATACGAAATCCCCGCTGTTATAAAAAGTAAGTGCACTTTTTCTCCTTCTATCCTTATTCTTTTCCCTTGTTTTGTAAGATTTGAAGCTCCTACGACTCCATTAGATTACAATAACTTTGTCGAGACTCCGAGGCATCAGTTTAATTTCGTCTTTATCTCACTTCTTTCTCCTGCTGTTTACTTTGTGGTTAGTGGATAGATTTGCTTGGTTGCGTGATAATGAATTTGCACGCCAAACTTGGGGTCAATTTAAGAGTCCTTAAGTTGGGTTCTATTGCACAGAAATTTCCGATTCTCAGCAAACTAGATCCTGCTGTTTATGGTCCTCCCGAATCTGCTATCACGAAGGAATTGTTAGAGCAAGAAATCAATGGGATGAGTGCAGATAAGGTAATAATGTCTGAATTTCAATTTTTGATATATGATTAATTTGAACCAACATGAAGTGTAGAATTTCTCAACTAAGAGAAATGCAAATCATACCAGGCAATTGAGGAGAAGAGACTATTTATACTTAATTAGTCCGGGAAAGTACGCCATGGAGGTAAGCTCTGCAGCATACAAGGATATGTGGAGGTTTGACATGGAGGCATTACCAGCTGATCTTCTTCGAAGGTAAGGTTTGAACAAGTGAATAGAGGCAGTATAGCCGTGTATTATTTTCTGAATTAACAGAGTTATTATTTGACAATTGTGTCTTTAATTCTAGTTGGAATGCTTATGTTATGATTGTGTTGGAGATGTGCATGGTTATGCTATAGTGGCTCGCTCTAGGCCTATAGTGGCTCCGTCCCTGGTTATGCTATGTTTGTGACTAAGGATATTTGTTATGTTTTCTCCTATTTACATTAATACTGTGAAACGTTGAGTACAAATCAATTTAGGGGAATTATATATTAATTATTAGAGATGTGCATGTTAATCCTGCCTAACATTTAAAAAAAAATATACCAGCTTGTAATTTTTTTCCTTCGTATATTGGAAATAGAAGACAATGAAAAGTACTAGAGCAATGGCAATACAACTGCTAAATTCTCAATTGACTTTATGGAAGTCATGATTTGGTCTTGATTGCGAATACAGATTCAATACTGTTGGAGCAATATTAGAAAATATGAGAAATATAAAAGAATTCTAATAATAATAATCATAAAGAAATTCACAGCCTCAATTATCTATGAGATTAATATAAACAACTAGAGATAAAGTTAGAAAAAACTGACAAACTTGGAGATTGAGTCTTACATAAATGCAATGTCTTAAAGATAGAATTTCGCCCCTACTTTTGTGCTTGTAGTTCGATAGGCGTCCATCTTTCAGGATTCAACAATCTATAATCTGAAGTCAAAGCACTTCAATTTTTGGACTCTGACGAACTTTATATATTCCGTACTTTCAAGATACAACTCGAAATTTGACACACGAAGCATGAGAGAAACAACGTGGGGAAACTCTATTTCTCAAGAGTAAAAATTAACTCTAATTTTCTATATTTAATACCAATGGTTTCATGGGTTTATATAGAATCCAATTTCTACTTATTAAAGAAATGTAACTTTTCACTCATAAGTACACATCACTTATCAAGGGAATACATCTAAACAACATAACCTTTCTAAGAAATTGGTTAACATTATTTTTCATTCAATTATTAAAATTATATATTACAACAATCCCCCACATGAATGAAAAATTAGGAAGAATTTGAGAGTACAGGCGGACAAGAGATGCATCGGTAGAGCCCTAGTGAATACTTATCGGATTTACTTGGTGACACAGTGGATGTGGAAGATCTTGAACTGTTCACCGCAACAGTAAACCAAGACAATAAGCAACACATATCACTAATCCTAATATATTACGGTTCGTACTGTTGTGTTCATTTAGGAAGAGCAATTTGCATTTAAAAGAGATAATAAGCAATATCTCTTATTATGAATGACTTTTAAGGTGTGGAGAGGTTAGAGACATTCTTTCAAAATACCTTAAATGTGGGGAAAGTCTACTTCCTAGTGTTAGCAAATTATTGAATAAGTCATAACCCATGTTTGAGGACTTGACATTCTAAACAACTACTCTTGTGTGAAATATAATTTCATAAGATGGATTGTGCACACCATTAAAGACAGTCAACTTAAATGGTACCAAATATTAAAGGTTTGACTAGAGAGTAAGTTGACCATCGAGAGAATGAGGCTAAAACCAACACAACTAATGAATTAGCTGCGCGAAAACCTAACTTAGTTTATTGGAGATCCCATGGTCTAAGTTCAATAGGCAAATTGGTTGGGCATGACTCAAAGAAGTTAACACACTATATACCTCATTCCTATGATGGAAGAAGTGTGTTGTCTGCAGAAGTTTTAGGATGTATATTTATACTTAATGACGGTGATATCTTATAAATAAAAGGAATATTGTAGAGTATTCTTAATCGGTGGTCACCTATGTGAGAGTAGAAGCGGGTTGCTTCTATGAGAATGAAATGGCTAAATTCTCCAAAGCTTTCATGAATCCGGGATTTGTTCAGGGCCAAAATGAATACAACCATATGAATCGAAATATATTAGGATTAGTGATGTGTGTTGCTTATTATCTCGGTTTACTACTGCGGTGAACAATTCAAGATTCCATATTCACTGTGTTAGCACGTAAATCTGATAAGTATTCACTAGGGTAGGTTTAAGTCCAAAAGACACCTCTTTCGATGCATCTCTTGTCTGCATGTACTCTCAAATTCTTCCTAATTTTTCATTCATGTGGGGATTGTTGGAAATTATAAATTATAATTAATATTATATATATATATATATATATTTTTTTTTTATGAATGAAGAATAAGAGTCATGTGTCATAGATGAATTCAAATTCATGAGTTGTATCTATTCGTTGGAACTTTAGGAAACAGTCATAATGTTTCAAAAAGGGTGGCTTGAGTTCTATTTAAACTCAAGCATCTCACCTGTCTAATATATTTAAGAGAATAGTTTTCTCCAATGTCTTAGTAAAAATCTGAGTCGTGTATTGAGAGTACGGAATATATGAAGTTTGCCAGAGTTCGAAGATTGAAGTGCTTTGACTTTGGATTATAGATTGTTGAATCCTGGGAGATGAATGCCTACCGAACTACAAGCACAAGAGCATGGGCGAAATCTGTCTTTAGGACATTGCATTTATGCAAACCTCAATTTCCAAGTTTATAGTTTTTCTAACTTTCTCTCTAATTGTTTATATTAATCTCATACATAAATTGATGTTGTGAATTTCTTTATGATTATTATTAATGGAATTCTTGTGTTATTTTCATATTTTCTAATATAATCCAACAAATACAAATATATACCCCTTAATCCTTGTGCCCTTTTTTCTAAGACAAATATAAGACGTCCAATACTTCTGATTTATGATCCTATAAGATATATTATGCTGCTTTTATCAGATATAAGATACATTATGCTGCTTTAATCAGCCTAGGTAAAGGAAATTAGTTACTGTTGTAGAATTCTTTGATTAAATCTCTTAGTTTGGTAGTGGTTTTTTACTTTGTATGTATTTGACTGAATCTGGTAGTTGGGTTTTTTTATTTATTTTATTTTATTTTTATTTTATTTATTTTGTCATTCGTTTGCCATCACCCTCTCTACTGAGATAATGACACAAGTGAAAAGTGGTGGAAAGGGAAAAGATTTGTTGTTAGAGAAAAGCTGTACTGTTGGATTAGGAATTAGCTGAGATAGCTGCAATATGCAAAAAAAGATTTGCCTTCCTATTTATTGCAAGCATCTCTTTGCACTAAATTTACTAAAAGGATTGAGCTTAAATATGCATGATACCTATAGGTAATTGCATGTATAGATGTGTATTTGAAAGAACTTTATTTTTTTATTTTTTTTTTTTTTTTTATTCTTTTTGCTATTTTGAAGTTTTGATTGGTTTGGATTGCAAAGAAGTGCTAGCAACCTTTTCTTCGTGAATAAGAGTTGTACATTAGGAGTCTGCTTGTGTTAACTGGGATTGGGAAGCAACAACCCCTTTGATTTTTCAGTCATTTGCGAATTTTACTTTCAACCAAATGAAATTGTTTTGTGTCTAACTTCAATTTTTGCGTTGTGAAGCTGAGTAAATTGGCATCTGGGAGAGAATGTTGCTTGAAGATGACCTTAGAGGCCGTCCACGGAGCATTGTTCAGGTCATTGTTTGAGGATGTAATATATGTATCTAAACACTACTCTTTGGCACATATATTTTCAAAACTTTCTACAACTTCAACAATGTTTCAAACCCTGCAACAACGTGCGAGTACACCTGCTTGTTTACTCTATCACAGGCCTGCAATGCATGTTTAATCCTGCAGATAACTCCTTGCTGCTAGAGCTTTTTCTGCATCACATAGGCTAGGCTATTCATCTCTTTTCTAGTCATGTCTATCGATATCAAGAGCATCGTGTCAATAAGGTAGTAGCTTGGGGGTACCAGGGTTGGTTGGTGTATTCGTGTAATTAACATAAAACGGATAAGGAACTTATAAAGATACTAATTCTTACGCTAAATTAGACCGAAACCTTGAAGAGTGTTTGACCGCAGACACACTTGGGTTGAAGAATAAAATATTTATCTATTAGAAAACATTCACCACTTGATAAAGATACTGAGTTTGAAGCAAAGCAATCAAATTAAATATATATATATATATATATATAGATAATAGAACTAGAAAACAGTTTTCACAATGCCTCCAAAGTATCTCTTTGTGGTCCAAACTCATGGAATGTGACTATAAACCACCATGAATTAATCGCTTTTGACAATGTAGTCAGTTAACATCACTGTGCATGCAGAGAGGATCGGATCAAGCCGACAATATCATAATTCTTTATAGTTCAGTTTGTTTTTTAAATTTAGAAATCATCACGTGACGGATCCAGGAAAAAATAGTAGAGAGGTCAGTAAGAATAGTACGCGTAGCGCGCAAATTTTTTTTACCAGAAATAGCATGCATATCGCCATTTCATCGAGTCTTGGTAGGCCTGAAGTTATTTGGAAAGACATATTGCACACTTGTTAATGCCTCATGTGCAAGGGTAGCTAACATGTTCCAATGTTGCTTCCATATGAATGCTTAACAAAGAAACACACTAACAATGTTTGATATTAATGTATCTAGGCCTGGCAAACGGGTCGTGTATGTCGTGGTCGTGTCGTTTTCATGTAATACCTATCATCTTAATGGGTCGTGTCGTGTCAAGTAAAGTGACCCAACCTGTTAAGGACCCGTTAAGAAAAATATATATTTTTTTCTTAAATTTGCACATAGCACACATTGCCGCATAAATATTACTTCAAAACATTAAAATACATTTGTCATTTAAGTACTACATCTACACTCGAAAATAAGAGCCTAATAAAAAAACATCCATATACTACTAGTCTATTACGAAATATTAAATGTGCGAGGATATGCAAAAGGAAAGAGTTTTTGTTTTCAAGGTTGTGAAGTCTTTCTCAAAAGTTTAAACCTTACCAATGGAAATTGTATTGGAACTTTGGCTTGATCTATTGCCTTCAAGAGTTATGTTGATGATGTTTTCAATAAGGTTTTCCACGTCAGAACTCTCTTCCGCATAAACTAAGTATAGAAAAACCAAACATTAAAAAACCGTTCAAATTATGAGAAGTTTACCCAAATAATTATGAAAATAAATAAAACAATAGTACTATACATATAAAATATATTAGCCTCCAAACTAATGCACAATGGACTGTTGAGATTAAATCTCAGCCGATCAATGGTCATCAATTTTTTAAATTTAATTTAATATGTGTGTGTGTGTGTATATATATATATATTATATATATATAATTATTATTGTTTTTTAGGTGTATAATGACACACCCCCGACTGGAATCAAGGCATGCTGGCCGTCATGCGAGGGTGACGTAGCCATGTGCACAGTGCGGAAGCAAAAGATAATAATAAAAGTACGAATAAATAAAAACTAAACTACTAAATAAGCTAGTTAAGGTAACACAATAATGCGAGACTAAGTGTGATAAACATAATCAGAGCACAGAAAGCCTAAGTGCAATCCAGAAGAACGAATACTAATTACACAACACCCAAAGGTGATCTTATATTTGTGATATTCTGTCAGAACCACCGTCAAGTCTTCGTGAACCACCAAAGCTGCTTCTAACTAGAACCTGGAAAGGCGCAAAACAGAAAGTATGAGTGGGCAAAAACAAAGCTTTTCAAAATCATTTCATTATCAAAAGTTCTAACCCTTTGCCGTAAAACCTGTATGGTTTCCCAGAAAATAGAATATACACATATATCGAAAATATGTTTAGAAATATGCCATGTCGAATGCCTCCACATAAATTGTAAGTAACCCAGGTAATGTCAATCAATGCAAGTAACATGTCAGCCGGAGTCACCTAACGTGACCTGTACGGCTGAATCAAGAGCTCAAATCCCCAACTCACTAACTATACCTGCACACGAGTGGGAACCATCTAAAGTGATCTGTACGACATGACTGGGTGTAAATAAATACGCTTAAGTGTTACAATCACGTGAAGACTGGGTGAATAATCGTGGGTTACCTACGAGTTGGAACCACCTATAGTGGTCTGTACGACAGAACTGTGCACCTAACTTGGATCCAAGATGAGCGTGTTACGGGAGGTGAACATCATGTGAAAGACTGTGCCCTACCCCTGGGCGGGAGCACTAACACCAGTGATGTAGGTTATGAGTTCTCTATGCATCTCACATAACCACTAATTCACAATCATAAACCATAAACTTACCTGGCACTTACCTGTGCGTCCGCAACACTAAACATACATATATGCAACTACTAATGCATAAAGAAATAGGCAAACGCTATGCATGGCATTTAAAACATATAAACATTCTATTTCATTTTCTGGGAAAAACCACAAGTATATAGGTATATACGGAAAACCAAAAGCCCACTCACTGATATGTGGAAGGGTCGTAACCCCCTTGCCTCGAGTGACTGCGCTCGTCCTCAGGATAGGTCTTACCTATATGCGAAACAACTATATAAACGTCAATTTAAAGCATATAACCAAAACTAGGTAATAACTTCTCAAACAATGCTCAAATAGGGTGTTTAGATATACCAACGTGATCTATTCAACCTCACGAACAACCCCATATTTTTAAAATACTTTTCTGACCTTCCACGCGCCGCCATACGCCGGCCAAACGCGCCGGCCACACGCGGGCACATGCCTGGCATACGTGTGGTAACCCTAACGGCGTCAGGGAATATTCCGTCCAAAAATGGAATATATCGTTATATATACCTGATGCCGTTTACTATATTCCTCAAAATTGACGGAATATTCCTTGTCTTCTCCGGTGAGTCTTGCCAGCCACCGCCGTCCGCCCCGCCGTCTGCAACTCGAATTCTCACCGGAAACTGGAAAATTTTCAAAACCTCATATCTTCTTCATTTCTCTACCAAATTCCATGAAATTGGTACCAAAATGAAGCTTACAACAAGTAGAACAAAACCTTACCACTTTCAAGCCCTGAAAATTCACGGAATCTCGCCGAAAGAAAAGAACCTCGCAAAATCCAGCCAACCTATAGAATTTGATATCCCGACGTCCAAAACCCTTCAAACTTGTTCCCCGAGCTCCGTAAGAGTATTCTAAAGCTCCCTAAGACCTTAAATCCACTGAAACCTTCACAATGATTAGTTGCATGAACAATGCATGAAAATTGGGTTCTCGGGTTGGTCTAGGGTTTTCGAGGGTTTCAAGTTCTAAAAAATGCTATGGATGAACTCAGGAGCTGCAAGGAGTTCAAACTTACCTCTAGGACATTGATCATACGTGAAAGGTTGGTTTTGAAGTTTGTCCATTACACTTGCAAAGGAAATGAAGAAAATCCGAGGAGAAAGAAGAGAGAGGGGAGTCACAGGAGTGTATAGTATGGGTGTGTGTGTGTCCTGTAGAGTCAACCACCAAAAACAACTAAACAAACACACCAAAATGGCAAATACCCACCAAGGGCAAAATCGTCATTTCACACCTACGGTACAAATAATTCAGGACGGGCTGTCACATATAAAATTGTTAAATTAATATATATATTATATTATTTTAGTATTTTTTTAGGGTTATAAAATTATAAAATTAATATTTTACTTATCGTGTATCGTGTTACCCACGTATATACCCGAACCAACCCGTTATCTTAACAAGTGCTTATCGGGTTACTCGATAATGACCCCGATTCATTATCGTGTCGACTCGAACACCTGTTAATTTTGTGTCGTGTTATCGGGTCATGTCAGGAATTGCCAGGTCTAATTGTATCCCATTAACATGTTTGTCCAAGAATGATGATACTTTGTTATTCACTGAGATCATCATTTCATTCACTCTTCTTTCAGACATTTTATCAAACAGTTGAAGGGCATGTATGAAGCCAACTTTACTCTTCAAAAGGGCAGCACCCAAAGTATCCATGGACATTCACCGAAGTTCGAGGGGTCAACACCTAAGGTATCCATGGATGTTCACCGAAGTTTGGGGGGTCAACAGACCCCCTTGCCCCTCAATGCATCCGCCACTAGAAACTATAGGAATCATATATATATATTTTTTTTTTTGAACAAAACTATAGGAATCATTTAGACAATAGGGTTAATCAAAATGAATAAGAGTTATCGATCATAAAAAGAGACATGGCTTCAATGTTGCATAGTACTTAGTATGACAGATGGAGTTCATGAAAAACATACCAAAGAATAACAAGTCGGAATTTGATTTGTTAGTCCTTTAATTAACCCTAAAACGTACCATACGTACGATATTCACATGTCTCTTGATTTCTTGAAAGGTAAGTTTGGTCGATGGAAAATATCGATCGATGGGAAAAGGGAGCGGAAAAATGATGATGTTGTTGAAGAGACGACGAGCGAGGAGAGCCCAATAACTGGAATCCTTGCAAGGACCAAACAAAGAAGAACGATAATGCCATTCAACAACTCGTTCCTTAAAGTAGACAAAGACACCAAACCCGATATGACAAAAAACAGCCTCACAAAGTTGTGAAAAACTGTAAATTTGCATATCTGCATTATTTAAAAAGATTCCATCGTCCCTTCTTCTCGACATGCGCGGGGGGGGGGGGGGGGGGGGGGGGACCATTTGGCCATTTTCTCAAAAGAAAAAAATATATGAGAAGGGAGGGATGACTAATGAGATGAGAGCCAAAAGATACCCTAATGATCGAGGAGGGTCTCACCTCAAAGAAATTGCCATGGATTGAGCATGAGCTTGTCATCACGTGAAATATGCTTTTAGGGTTTGATAAGGACTTTTGAAAGCATTTTAAATAAGATATCTTACTATCT